ATAAGGAATGTGTTTGTGAGAGAGAGAGTATGACAGGCAAGCAATACTCCCGCCTCCCTCACTAGTTTAAGGTCAACGAGGATGTTCTAGTCCTCTCTCTCTCTCTCTCTCTCTCTCTCTCTCTCATTATATAAGTCAGTTAATCAGTCAGACAGTCAGTCATACAACCAGTCAATGAGTCAGACAGAACAGGTATTCATAGAGCTGGTAGACGCAGCAGAACGAACATCAGTACTCAGACTCGCGCGGTCCCCAGCAGTCGCGTGAAACTCTACGGTGCCAGCCAGCCACGTTTAACTACCAGAGCTGGATAAATAGTCTCTCTCTCTCTCTCTCTCTCTCTCTCTCTCTCTCTCTCTCTCTCTCTCTCTCTCGCTCTCTCTCTCTCTCTCTCTCAATCATTATATAAGTCAGTTAATCTGATAATCAGACAGTCAGTCGCCACAACCAGTCAATGAGTCAGACAGAACAGGTATTCATAGAGCTGGTAGACGCAGCAGGGCGAACATCAGTTCTCCAGACCCGCCTTGGTCACCAGCAGCCGCGTGAGGCTTTCTACAGTGCCAGCCAATACGTTTAACTACCAGAGCTGGATAAATAGTCTCTCTCTCTCTCTCTCTCTCTCTCTCTCTCTCTCTCTCTCTCTCTCTCTCGCTCTCTCTCTTTTCTTCTGTGTTTGTGTGTCTGTCTCAGCAAACACAGCCTCTCCTCCTTCCACTGTAGCCAGATTGACCGTCCTCCACCCTCCAAGTATAGCCACCTCAGCATCACACCTTCAATCCCTCGATTATAACTAATTCCCATGTGACGACGACCTATGAGAGAGAGCAATGTTAACCTTCGTCTAGCATTTCTCCTCAACTCCACTTAATAACATGCTAATGGAAACTTCATCAGACGAACCCCTCGCCCGTCTCCTTCCTGCAAAGGCTGATCTTTCTAGACACGAAGTAATATTACGTGGCGTATCGAAGAAAGGGGGGGTAGCGAGGAAGGGAGGAGGGAGAGAGGGAGGAGGGAGGGAGGAGGGAGGGAGGAGGGAGGAGAGGAGGAGGAGGGAGGGAGGAGGAGGTACTTTCAATGTGGGAGCAGCAATAAGGAAGTATGCCAACCATTATATCCGTTTCATTTACTGATATTGACCCTTACAATCAATATTTCCTCCCACACTCTCCCACACCCTCCCAAACTCTTCAATTCCTGTTTCCTTCTCTCTTTACCTCCCTCATTTCCTGTTTCACTCCCTTCGACCCATCCCTTCCTCCCTCTCTCCCTCCCTTCCTCCCTACCCTTCCACCTGGTGACATCAAACAAGCTTATGATCTAGTTAGTGGTGCTCACACGACAACAGATACTGAGGCTGTTAGATGTGTGGACAGACAGACAGAGAGGCAGACAGACAGACAGATAGACAGACAGACAGACATAAAGAGAGACAGACAGGCAGAGAGACAGACAGACAGACAGATAGAAAGACAGACATAAAGAGAGACAGACAGACAGAAAGAGAGAGAGATTGTATTGACAGACTCGAACAATGAACCACATCCAGCCATCTTTTGTCTTCTTTATGGACGCTGGTCGTACTGTACCGTATACAGGTCGTACCGTACACAGGTCGTATCGTACACAGGTCGTACCATACACAGGTCGTAACGTACACAGGTCGTATCGTACACAGGTCGTACCGTACACAGGTCGTAACGTACACAGGTCGTATCGTACACAGGTCGTACCGTACACAGGTCGTACCGTACACAGGTGGTATCGTACACAAAATTCATACTATACAAATCAAAATTATCTTTAATATCTGCACGAAACTGATGATATAGTCATATAACTTGTACATAACTGAAGTCCCTCTCACTCTCTCTTTCTATCTTACTCTCAATCTCATTCTCTCTCTCTCACACTGTGCCTCTCCCCCCCTTCTCTCTCTCACACTGTGCCTCTCCCCCCCCTTTCTCTCTCACACTGTGCCTCTCCCCTTCTCTCTCTCACACTGTACCTCCCCTTCTCTCTCTCATACTGTGCCCCCCCTCTCTCTCTCTCACACTGTCCCCCCTTCTCTCTCTCACACTGTGCCTCCCCCTCTCTCTCTTCCTCACCTGGGCATCAACCCTCCCAATAAAAGATAGATTTAATGAATTCCCTGAACACCCCGGGTAAGGCATAAGTTATTTACTAGGTGGAGTGACAGACTAACAGACAGACAGACAGACAGACAGACAGACAGGCGGATAGTCAGACAGACAGGCGGATAGTCAGACAGACAGGCGGATAGTCAGACAGACAGGCGGATAGTCAGACAGACAGGCGGATAGTCAGACAGACAGACAGACAGACAGACAGACAGACAGACAGACAGACAGACAGACAAGGGTGGTCTAGTACACACACACACACACACACACACACACACACACACACACTGTGACCCACATTCAGTATAGTACACGAACTAGACCTATGTATGTATGTATGTATGTATGTATGTATGTATTATGTGTGTGTGTGTATGTGTGGATGTATGTATGTTTATGTATCCTACGTACAAATTTACACATTAAGCTAAGTATTATATGTGCATTAGTCTGTGTCAAGAAGCCACTAACATACTCTTGTTGACATAAACAACAATTAGTCTCCTCAAAATGCCTTCAGCTGCGTGTTAGTAAGATCAATAGCTAAGACACAGTGACATTTTGGTGACCTGACCGCCTGCCCAAGGTCAAAGGTGAGAGGTCGACTGTTTTGGTATTCAGAGTTATGTCATATTTTTACCTATGACCTCCCCTCCTCCTCCTCCTCACCCCCCCCACATCCCCTCCTCACCCCCCACATCCCCTCCTCCCACCCCCACATCCCCTCCTCCTCCTCACCCCCACATCCCCTCCTCCTCCCTCACCCCCACATCCCCTCCTCCCTCCCTCACCCCCCCCACATCCCCTCTCCTTCTCACCCCACCACATCCCCTCCTCCTCCCTCACCCCACCATCCCCTTCCTCTCCTCGCCTCTACCGCCCTTCGTCTCCCCACCCCCACCCCTCCCCGCTACTCACCCCCCATCCCCGTCCCTACAGACCCCTTCACCCCCCCACTCCTATCCGACTCAATTCTTTCCCACTTCTGCAGGAGATTACTGTGTGTGTGTATGTGTGTGTGTGTGTGTGTGTGTGTGTGTGTGTGTGTGTGTGTGTGTGTATGTGTGTGTGTGTGTGTGTGTGTGTGTGTGTGTGTGTGTGTGTGTGTGTGTGTGTGTGTGTGTGTGTGTGTGTGTGTGTGTGTGTGTGTGTGTGTGTGTTCTCTAGGTTAACCTTGTAACTATAGTTTCACTGAACTAATATTCCATATTATGTTATTATTGGGAAACTTTTGGCACTATTTTACTTATGTGGTGGAGGTGGTAGAGGGGGTGGTGTGGTGGAGGTTGGTATGGTGGTGGTGTCTTGGTAGGAGTGGTATTGGGAAAGGTGATAATGGAGGTGGTGTGGTGATGGTGGTTGTGGTGGTGTGGTGATGGTGGTAGATCAACTCACTAGTGGTGCCCAACGGTACACTGACAGCAGTGGATCAACTCACTAGTGGTGCCCAACAGTACACTGACAACGGTGGATCAACTCACTAGTGGTGCCCAACAGTACACTGACAACAGTGGATCAACTCACTAGTGGTGCCCAACAGTACACTGACAACAGTGGATCAACTCACTAGTGGTGCCCAACAGTACACTGACAACAGTGGATCAACTCACTTGTGATGCCCAACAGTACACTGACAACAGTGGATAACTCACTTGTATGATGCCCAACGGTACACTGACAGCAGTGGATCCAGCTCACTAGTGGTGCCCAACAGTACACACTGACAACAGTGGATCAACTCACTTGTGATGCCCAACAGTACACACTGACAACAGTGGATCAACTCACTTGTGATGCCCAACGGTACACTGACAACAGTGGATCAACTCACTAGTGATGCCCAACGGTACACTGACAACAGTGGATCAACTCACTTGTGATGCCCAACAGTACACTGACAACAGTGGATCAACTCACTTGTGATGCCCAACGGTACACTGACAGCAGTGGATCAACTCACTAGTGGTGCCCAACAGTACACTGACAACAGTGGATCAACTCACTTGTGATGCCCAACGGTACACTGACAGCAGTGGATCAACTCACTAGTGGTGCCCAACGGTACACTGACAACAGTGGATCAACTCACTAGTGGTGCCCAACAGTACACTGACAACAGTGGATCAACTCACTAGTGGTGCCCAACGGTACTGACAACAGTGGATCAACTCACTAGTGGTGCCCAACGAATACACTGACAACAGTGGATCTGGCTCACTATTGGTGCTTAACAGTACACTGACAGCAGTGGATCCAACTCACCTAGTGGTGCCCAACAGTACACTGACAACAGTGGATCAACTCACACTAGTGGTGCCCAACAGTACACTGACAACAGTGGATCCAACTCACTAGTGATGCCCAACGGTACACACTGACAACAGTGGATCAACTCACTAGTGGTGCCCAACAGTACACTGACAACAGTGGATCAACTCACTAGTGGTGCCCAACAGTACACTGACAACAGTGGATCAACAGCACCACTAGTAGTGCCCAACAGTACTGACAACAGTGGATCAACTCACTAGTGGTGCCCAACAGTACACTGACAACAGTGGATCAACTCACTAGTGGTGCCCAACAGTACACTGACAACAGTGGATCAACTCACTAGTGGTGCCCAACAGTACACTGACAACAGTGGATCAACTCACTAGTGGTGCCCAAGGAAGTATTAAAGAGATTGTATGTGTGTGTACGTATGTAAGAATGCGTGTGTCTACACGTAACCATCCCTCACACGGACAATATATCCATCAGTCAGGTCAGCAGAGACACCATTACACCACTAAACATCATTTACAATAAACACATCATAACATAAAGTCAACATCAGGTGTGTTGGGTTAC